AAACAGGACAGATTTTTTTCCCCACCACATTAAACAGAAACTAGTGAGAAGTGGGCTGAGAGTGGGCATAGGGCATCTATAATGTATTCTACTATGGTCACCACCTGAAGCATAATCTGTTGGAGTGACTAAAATCCTACAAATGAAACCCATTCAATCTTTACTTGAGTTTCACAAGACCTTTTTGGAATTATTGCCTCTCACTATTAAAAACATTGCACTGGTTTAAAGGAGATATCGGCCTGCCTTGTAGTCTCCTGGTTGCTATGTGGAGCAAATACTGTGGAGAAAATAAAAGAGAGTCTCAAAAATTCTATCTGTATTTAAATCCACAGTTAAATTTTAATTTGAAACGCTGATCTCCAAGAATTTCAGATTTTAATGTAGCTCCATGTTTCAGATTTCAAAACTACTGAAAGCCTCTCTGGATACCCAGCATGTATTTTGGAGAATTTTTAATCGAATTATATGAAATAAATAATTTAATCAGATTAACCAATATTTACAAACAAGTTGATGTTATATAATTAACACATAATTCATTCTGCCACTTTCTAAGGAAGTGTGTTCTAATTACATAGGTAAAAATTAATTTCTTGATTGGTCACTACTTAAATATGTGGTTTGTCAAACATGCAGATATTACTGGTTTAAAAATAGTGGTATTACTGCGCCACATATTGTTTAAAAAGGAAAATATGTTACTTCAATTTTTAAGAACATTATAAACTCTTAATAAACAAAATAAGCCTTTCAGCAAGACACAAAATACCTATTCCTTAAATTTAAAGAAATCTTGCACAAGCTAAAAATTTCTAAGGTCACACCTGTTAGCACTTCACACACAACTTTTTTCACTTGTAGACTGAAGTTCTGAGAACTCAATAAACATTGAAATATGTTTTCTTATTTGAGTGTTTAAAATGTTTCTAGTACAGAACTAACTTTGGGTGTTAGCTGGACTCTCCACAGAAGTGTTCTTACTGAAGCCACTGTCCAGCTCAAGAAATGTTACAGGAAGTACGGTGTATAAAACACTCATCACATAACTTTGTATAAAGCACTCATTACCTAACCAAGTGTGTAGTAATCCTTCCTTTTACTACAGGTTCTATTTGGTAACAGCAAAGCAGGAAGTAAAAGTCCTCACATTGTGAAGAAGATAACTTTAGAGAGTTAACTATGACACAAATAGGAGTCCAGAGCCCTTATACAGCAGCTAGGATCATACCACCAGCTTCCTAACTTTTTGCATCCCAATGATTTTCCACTTTCTCTCTGCTTCATTGTTGAAACTACCTACCTATGACACTTTCAGCTCACGCAACATCAGAAGTGCAGAACTTGAAGTACTGATACAAATAAAAGAATATATGTGCACCATCCTCACTCTGAGGAGTAGAGAAAACATATAATGCTAGTTTGAAGTCTCCATCATACATTTCTTTACAGCCTTTTCAGTAAAGCACAGAATGCCTTTTGTCCTGTCTTGATGAATATATAAGCTACTATTCCATTTACCAAACACCTTCCCACCCCAAGAATGCAGAAAGCCTAATAAATCATTTTGCTTTTCCCAAGAAATGACAAACTGTCTTCAGTATTTGAGGAGTAATAAGTAATTTAATCACAATGGTATATGTGCTATTATGTTTAAACATCTTGTAAACAAAGATTTAAGAATGAGGTGAAAGTGTCCTTGTAACCCCCCCCAAAAAAAAGGGCTGGTATTTAATGTCTAATAGCTTGCCTACAAACTTGAGGATCTGAACCCGGTATCTAAATAGAAGGTTGGTATTTATAAGAAAAACACTGATGAAGTTTCAAGTACTAGCAAGGAGTGCTAAAACACTTTTTAGCCCTGTATCAGAAGTGGGTAGTGGTGGATTTGATCCAGACAAACTGGAATATGATGGGAACATCTTGGTGACTTGGTCTGAAATATTCAAGTTTCCAGGAAAGTAGTATTTAAATGTTTACTGCAAATGTATGAAAATTTGGTGTGTTATTCTTGAAATTGATCTTCTAATTAACCACTCAATTAACTATACTTCCTATAAAAGTAAAAGCTTACTGTTGAAAAAAATAGTGAACTAAAGAACAGTACCAACTTGCATGTGTTGAGTCAAATTCTGATATAAGAAGTACTTCACATGGAGTCTCAAACTACATAAAACTAAAAGTATGACAACCTCATTTATACAGGTTTGGGGAACTAAGACACAAACAAGTAAATAATTTGGCTCTCACCCACATTGAGTAATGGCAGAGTCTGGGATTATAGAATCATCTGCCATTCTCTTCCATTCTTCAGAAATTTAGGATTGATAGTGAGTGCTAAATTCAATGCCCCTGTATTTAACTGCCTTTTTGTCACACTGAAAGCAGTATTCAACCACTAATTCATCAGCAACTTCAATTCAAAAGGTTTGTTAAATGTCTGCCATAGATTGTTAAATAAGTGTATGCTATACACCTTTATGAGAGAATTGTACCAAAGATGTAGGAAATGTATATAAGTGAAGGGGTCTTTTCTGCATCAAAACATAATCAGACAATCAGTTGTCCTGTAATTGAATCATTGGATCATGTGACTATCATTGACAAGCATTTCCCATAGGGACCTGTCAAGCAAAACAGTAACATTCTGTCATTCCCCAAAATGAACTGAATGGAAATAGAAAAAAATAAGTAAATTAGAATATACCTTTACTTACAAACAATGGAAAGGAATTCAACTCAAAATAATATCTGTAGGTAGAATGCAACTGTTTGAAACACAGATAAATAAGTTATTAATAGTATTTAAGATAAATTTTATGCCCAGAAAAATGACAAATAAATTTGGTGGATCAGTGACTGGGTTACAACTTCAAGAGTAAAAATTTTACTCTTTAGTTATGTATTTTTGCCACTAAATTAGGATAATCCATGAAGAAGTCTAATTTCTGGGGCTGTTCATGAGTAAATCTTGGAACTCATTAGGAAAATAATATTCAAAAAGTAGCATTTTTATAACATGAAATTTGACTTTTTTATTTAATCTCACCTCTAGTTCCAAATGTGTGACAGACACTAAATTTTAGGTAATTTCCAAATCATCTTCTTAAAGTAACAGTTTCCAGCTTCGAGTTACTATTATGTTGCCTTGTTTTACCCAGTTTTACAGACTGTATTTTCTTTTTTGCAATGGACAATAATGGGAAGACAAAAAGAAAGACCAAAGTTGTGAGACATTTTTGAAATTTAAGAAACTTAACTCCATGAAAACACCACTCACACCTAAGCTAGACATGCTGACAAGTGCCTAACATCACAACGTGCAGTCAGGAGGCCAGCCTGAACTACACTACAAGGCCCTGTCCTGAAAAACCACCTCCACCATTCAATTCAATTCTTGCTGGTTTGAACCCCACTCCCCCAGTGTGGAAATCAAATAAAAACAAAACAAAACAAAAGCATGAGTTTCCCTCATGTTTATGTCTTCTGTAAGAAACAGCACTAATCATGTGAAAGGTAAAAGCTCATTTCACATCATTTTCTAAAATCTTTAGAAGGATATCCTCCACAAAATGACTTAGAGGCTTAATATATTCAAAATCCTGGTAAGTGTCTCAAGGATAGAGAGTACTTTATATAATTTTAAATATCTTAATTGCTTAATGTAGATAGAAGAGATGCCCATTTTACACAAACAATAAAGTATAAATTTATCTTTTGAGCTTTCTCAAATACCAGTCTTTTTCTATGTGTAACAGTTTTTGGTACGATTAAGACAATATGCCAGGCCTGTGGCGGCATTCCTTTGATGCCACATTCAGAAGGAAAAGGAAGGAGGATCGAGAATTCAAGGCCAGAGTGGACTGTGTCAGAATACCTTCATAAATAATAAATAAATGAACAACGGGCTTGGATTTTATTTATCACTTCTCTGGATATTTATTTGCTGCTTTGGCGAAGGGCTGTCCTCGGGAACTCCAACACTGTCTCAGAAGGTCATCTGACTTTCAGAACTAATGTGTTGTCACTCTACCTCCAAGGTTACAAAAAAAACAAAAATAAAAAAAATAAAAACTCTCACTGAGCCACAGATCCACTTTCCAATCAATCCTGCACCTGTGTAAAGAGAGACTCCTTCCACTCTCTCTAGTCAAGTGTAGAAAATTATTCATTTTTGCTTTGCAATTGAAACTACTTAGAAAAGCAAACACAATGAAAGCCAGGCTACTTCCATTATAGGCTTTTAGTGCTGTACCCCACCCCAGTGAATGCGCGCGCGCACACACACACAGACACACACACAGGGTTTTAAAGCTTCTTGTTTCTTGCCAAACGAAAATGCAAGCCAAATAATATCACTGAGGTCATCCTTACTTGAGTTTTATTTTGCCCACCTTTGAATCTTAGCCCCACTTAAGAAAAACCCACAACTCCCTGCATATTAAGACTTCGGTGTTTGGTTGAGGTTTTGAACTCAACAGAGCCCCCTCTGGAAAAACGGCATGAAAAGCATCTTGCCAAAGAATGCTCATAGACTCTCCCTCTTTTAGAAAGTGATGCATTAACTTACACTGAGAAAGTTGATTCAACACCCTGCCCCTAAACACACACACACAACACACACACACACACACACACACACACACACACACCCACACACACACCACACACACACACACACACACACTCAGAAGCCAAAACTCAATTCTCCCCTCTGACCTTTGGGCATTTGCACTGGAGGTAAGCAGTTTAGGAAAACCTATCTTGTTACCAGTTAATAAAGGGCATGTTACACCAGCAGCCCTCATGTGCAAGATCCTAGGAAGAGGTGTTCTAGACACACAGTCACCATCTCTTGAGTTACCCCCTAACAAAACCACATGCAACTGGAACTCTTGTGAAACCGCACCATAGGAGATAACCCTGGCATGCGCTTCGCTCTCTCCATTCTAGATCGCCCTTTGAACTAACGCTCAAATAAACTGATGCCCTAAACTCACATCTCATCAGACAAAAGGTGGACGACCTATAGGCACACATAGTGCTCTGTCTCCTCTTAACGCTGCACAGTGAAAGGCGTCCAAAGCAACAAGGAGTGAGGCGGGGCAAGAGAACAGGATCAATAAGTTTAGAAAGAGAACCTGAATCTGGTATGGGGGAGGACCAGAGATTTACTTTGCACTGCTCAAGGGGTGCTGAGGGAGACCTGCTGGTACAGATTAGCAGGCTCGCCACCAGGGCACACCTGCAAGGAACATCCCTTCCAGGCCACAACCGAGCTCCTCCCACAGCAAGTCTGTGATGGCGGAGAAAGTGTGTGAGATGGATGGGTAGGTAGGATGCTAACTTACGGAAGAAGATGTACTCGGTGTAACTGCTCCAGATCTTGTCGTCTCGATACTGGTTGACAAAGGCAGAGGTGCCAGAGGAGTTGCACGCCACCATGTTGAAGCCGGCCTCAGACAGTCGATCGAACGCCTGCTCCAAGTAGGTGAACTTGAGGTAGAAGCGGGACGTATACTTCTCGGGCTGCCGGTCGGGGTCGCGACTCTCATTAAGAGTGTCCCCAAAGACCTCTTTGGCCAAGGCTATGCGCCCGCACACCATGATGCGAGCCACACGCCTGAACTTGGCATCTGCCTGGTTGTCGCGCACAGTAGTGTAGGAGCCACGGTAGCCCAGGGTGAGAAAGCCAGAGCGCTTGTCCGGAGCGCTGCTGCCACCAACAACAACACCACTGACACCAAGCGCTCCAGAGCCCGAGGGCGCGCCGCCGGCCGCCGCCCCACGCAGCAGCAGTGCGTCGCTGCTGCCTTGGGAAACATTATCCTCCAGGTCGCTCTGGCAGCCCTCGTCATTGAGCGAGTTCTGCTTGGTGACCTTGGGAGACAGCAGCTTGACCAGGTCAGTGAGCTGGAAGAACTCTGCCTCGCGCAGGAGCCTCTCCTTCTCGGGGAAGTGCTCGGGCAGCGCCAGCTGCTTGTCGCGCAGGTAATCCAGAACGTACCTAAAGAGGAAGCCGTCGCGGTCGATGAAGAAGCGCGCGCGGCTGTCTCTGGGCAACTCGCCCCGGCGCCGAGCGCCGCCCCGGGGGCTAGAGGGCGAGAACATGCTGGCCAGAGTGCTGTCCGGGACGCTGAGCAACGTCGAGTGCTTGGTCACATAGACCTGGCCACCAACGTTCAGCTCCACCACCTCGGGGAAGGGCGACGGAGCACAGGGCCCCGGGGCGGCGGCCAGAGGGGCGCCAGGAGTACTGGACGCGGACACCATCTCGCTGATGGGGAGGATGGTGCTGCCACCGCTGCCCGTGTCCTTCAGAGCCATGGTCCCCGCCGCCGGCCAGGTAACCAGGGCGAGCGGCACGGCGTGCTTCCCAGAACCTCGAGGCTCCCTGTCCTCGGTGTGCACCCAGGCACTCTGCACTCTCAGGCTGGCCGACCGGCGCGGTCCTCCGGACACCCAGAGAGGCTCAGGGTTCCGGGCAGCAGCGGCGTCGGCGGCGCCCGAGCTCCATCAGGCAGAGAGCTCCTCGGACACTGCTGCTCCTTTGGGGCGACCGGCTGCAAGTGTGCTAGAGTCTTGGAGAGGTTCGGGGGCTGCGCGCGGCTCTCGAAGGGGAGGGCGGGAGGCGGGGCCCGAGCAAAGAAAACTCACCCCCGTCTGCTAGCGAGCTAGCGCGCCCCAGCCAGGAGCGCCGGCGCCGGCGCTAACTACTCTCAGCCCAGGAGGTGGCACTGACGTCAAGCCCCTCCCCGGGACTGGAGCCACAGCTGTCATTTAAAGGGATAGGCTCTGGGGCTAGCAGAGCATCTCCCTAGCTAGGGAGCCTGGGTGAAGGTAGAGACAAAAAGAGAGGCTTAAGGAGACATCAAACGGCAGGGGACATCAAAAACAATCAGGCGAAAGTGGGCATCAAGTCTTCATTTCGTTGGAGTTTCATTTATATCCTCTCCCTTTTCCTCCTCCATCCATTCTTTCTAATCTTCCCCTTCCGAGTTCACCTTGGCAAAACAAGTTTTACTCTCTAGAAGGCTAAAACATTACAGATATTGGTGTGTTTGCTAAAAACTATAAGACTGGGTTGAATGACAGCTAGCGGGTTTTTAAATGATAAAATTTTAAATTAAAGGCAAACTCACCTATCTTCTGAGGTCAAATGACATTTAATTGATGTTCTACATCCAGTTAGGGTTAAAAAGTCTTAAGTTTGATTCCATTTCACAAAAGCAATAAAGGACTGTGTGTTGTAGAGCAGCTCTTTTCTACCACATGAACAAAAGTTGGAGCATAACTACTTCCTGTTTATGGAAGAGAGGGACTGACAGGGGACAATGGTACTTTTGTCAAATTTTGCTTTCTTGATCCATGCTTCTGTTAATCTCTCTATTTCCTTTGCAAATTCTCAGAGCAGAGGAATCGCTTAGTCTTTGTTATCTTCCTAAATCTAGCGTCTGCTCACAGATACAAACCAGGAGTGTTTGTGATGGAAAAGGAGGACAGAAAGTCAAAGGAGCAAAGTCCTACGGATTGCAAGATAATCTAACATGCTGTCCAACATAACTTAGTCACCAGCAACATCAGTCATCGACTTACCAAGTAAAAACAAAAGTGAATATAGAGTATTTTGAGACACAAAGTAATTTTCTTCAAAGGTAATATAATAAAAATTACATACAGATTTTAATATTTTAAAACCCCTAAAATATCTGCCTATGGTTCCTCCCATTCAAATTCACCAAATAGTAATGGATTTGAGATTCAGTTGTAACCTTAAATTTTCATAAATGATTTATATCCTATTATTTGAGCATTGCAAGCTATATTTAATTCATTGATTCTTATAAACCACATCCACAGAAAATGCTATATCAATTTTGAAGTTTGATTACCTGAGGCAGACAGAGCTTAATGGACCAATGAACGGACACAACACACTTGCCAAATGATTAAGACGTAAAACAAGGCTTGCAATGGACATAGTCATTGAATCCCCTTACTCAAATATATTACCTCATCCCCAATTTACATTGATGGATCAAATTGAGAAGTAAAGTTGATATGAGTCTTTTTCACTTAAAACCTTAAATTGAGCATTGAAACAATCTAAAAAAAAAGTGTATTTTCTACTTCATTTGAAGAATAAGAAAATATTTGGACTTTAAAATGATCGTTTTTTGGAAAATGAATTAGTGAAACCTTTATAACCTTCCTAGTAGAATAAGCAATAATGCCTCAAACCACTACTAATGAAGCCTATTTATCATGAAATAAATGTCTGTAATGATGAGGGTGGCACAGACCCTAGCATTCTAATGAAGTGGATATACAACAAATATAAATATGGACACAAAAGCATAAGGTTGCCAATTTTATCAGCTTAAAATTTATTTTTCATTTGTGTTACATAAAATATATTTATGAGATGATCTGAATTTTATACTGCAAATGAAATCACTTTAACAATTCATAATGAATCACATTGTGAGTGGTACTGTGTGATATATTGCTTTTGAAAATTATCTCTCCAACAGTGATTGATTCTTCTTAATCTCTTCCTTCTGCATACTGTTATTACCCGACTAGTACTCGCCAACCAAACTCCTGACTGAACAAGTATCACATCAGAATGTTGCTAATCATAGTGTTTTCCACTGCAAATCCCTTTCTTCTCCCATCTGCTTCCCTCCGCAGTTAAGTTTTCCTCCCAGCAGAAGCACTACTTACTCTGGAAATCCTTCCATGATCTGACCAACTGCATGTTCACTACTCAGTTGTTCTACTCAATCCTGTGCTTGTATATGGACAAAACTGAATTTCCTCCCAGGCTACAGGTGTGGCACATGCAGCCATACCCAACATCCCATCCTTAGAATGGTGCCTAGCTTATGAGAGGCAGCCACTTTCTATTTGAAATATATAATGCTTATAAAAGGAAAACAATGAATCACACACATGAGGGTCACTGGGATAAGACAGAAACTGCAATTATAAGTAAGATATGCTTGTTAGTATCCAGGCATCTGTACTGGCCTGTCTTGGGATTCTGACAGGATATGCCCTCAGCTGCAGCCACTAAGAGCACCACCTGTGCTCATTCACTATGTTCCCTTTTTAAAGGGCCCTGATCACCTTCCTGTCCTCTCTCTCTCTCTCTCTCTCTCTCTCTCTCTCTCTCTCTCTCTCTCTCTACCCCTCTACCCCCCTTTTCTCTTCTGCTGCTCCTGTCCTCAGAGGCTGATCACTCCCCTCCGCTCCCCCTTTCCTCAATCCCTTTCCTCTAACATAAAATCCCTCCTTTATAAGCTTGGTCCCATGATGTCCTTCTCTTGCACATCACTTTTTACATTACAACAGTGGTCCTTCACAATTGAAATCAACACAAGGAAGAAATTTCTTGTCAAAATAAACTCAGACCCCACAAGGAACAGAAAGCAGAGCCTGGGTTGTAGCAATCCATTTCATGCACTAAGCAATGAACAAAGACCATAATCAGAACCATTTTCCTCTAAACCACCCACACTATTAATGTCCCCGAGTCTTAGCTGATAAAAAGAAAAGGAAAAAAGTGGATCCTTCAAGATCTGCTGCTGCTGTGCAAATGCAGGGCATCGAATTTCTCTGGCAGGGAAGTGATGCTGTTTTCTACCTCCAGCACCTTTTAAAACAACTTGATCAAACCAGTGTGTCTTCAAAAACACAGAAAATAAGCCATATAGGATATATTGGTTCCATGACACAGCACTTAATTAATTTGTGATTTAAAATAGCCAAGTGATTTTTTTGTTTTTCATTAGGCAGAAACCAAGTTAAAAGCACAAACTACCTTGATGTGGAGAAAGAACATGAACAGGTAACTAAGGGGTTTAGAGAGGACTCTGTTAAAATCTAACCAGCTTTGTAATTTTAGCAAGTTACTTCATCTCTGAATATTGGCTCTTTTAGACACTATGGACATAATAAAGACCAGAGGTTTGTCTCCTAAGTGAGAGAGAATCCAAGGCTGAAGGAGTCCCTCATATTTGTTACATGTTTGGAAACTTAGATTGACCCTAGTGGAACACTGGATACCAATGCAGCTTAGTAAAAGAATAGTTGCCTACCATGGGCTAGGCTATTGGTTGCTACTGCCTCACCACATTAATACCATGCTATATATGCCAATGCAGGAAGGGGTGTGTGTGTGTGTGTGTGTGTGTGTGTGTGTGTGTGTGTGTGTGTGTGTTCTACAATGCCCACAACATCTAGTGGAGTGTGGCACCATGATCAAGAAGATCTCCTAAAACATCATAATTCTTACCTATCTATATCCAGTGTGGATAGCATTTCAATGACTGGATTTTCCTTGGCTTTCTTCTGTTTTAACTTTGCTCATATCTGTTTAATCTTATTTGAATCTTTGAAAGTTTTATAAAAATAGAAACTGACAAAAAACAAGTTCTTGTGTCTCATATCATTCTAAAAAGAAAAAAAAATGCCTGATGCCTGAATTTCTTTCTCACAAGTATTAGAGACAGAAATGTTTAGAGAAATGTTGTCTTATATTAATATGTAAACCATGTATCTAATTGTAATTTTCAACCTGCCACATTCAAAAGCAAGTATGAAACATATGGTAGCAGATGTCTTTTTCTTTATTTACAGCACTCAGGAGGCAGAAGAAGGAGGTTGTCTATGAGTCTAAGGCCAGCCTGGTCTACAGAGAGAGGTGTAGACAAACTGGCTTTTTGTTTTGTTTTGTTTTGTTTTTTTAAACCATATGTCAAAAACAAAACAAAATAATCACAAAATAAAGTAATCATGAAACAAGCAAAATAACTTCAATTATACAGCCTATGTGGTAATTTGAGTGTAATTGGCCCCCATACTCCCATGATTTCTTAGGGAAGTGGCACTATTAGGAGGTGTGACCTTGTTGGAAGAAGTGTGTCAACTGTGGGGAGGGGTGGGCTTTGAGATATCATATACTCAGGATATCACCCAGTGAGTCAATTAACTTCCTTTTGCCTTTGAATCAAGATGTAGTAGCACTCTCAGCTCCAATACCACCTCTGCCATGCTCCCTCACATGATGGACTGAAGCTCTGTACTGTAAGCAAGTTCCCTCAATTAAATGCTTTCTTTATAAGAGTTGCCTGGTCTTATAAATGGTGTCTCCTCGAAGCAATAAAAACTCAAACTAAGAGAGCCTACTATGTAAAAATATTGTCAGCATATAGCCAGCATATATATGAAAAATATTTTACATTTTTCCATCTAGGTCTTGAATATGAAGTATTTTCTTTATACTTAGACTACACTACAATTCACTCTAAGCCTACTCTGTG